CGAGACCTCAAATTTCTCTCGCGAGTGACATTTGCGCCTGCTGTTCTCGCGTAATCCATCAGAAGCTGCTGTTGACTGACTGTTTGACTGACCCACACTCCTCATTCCCTAAACCCTACCAATAGTATTTTAACAAGCACTGATTGACCCGCCCACCCACTTTCCTAAACCCATCTGACATTTTTAAAAAGCCATTCAGAATCCGTTCTTCACCGAACTCAAACCCCATCGTCGTGGTCATCTCCTCTCTGCTTCTCAAGACCGCCGACAAACATGGCAAGCTAAATGGACTACTGACAGTGGGAAAGGCGTCCATAAGGAGGTAAGCGGTCAGCTGGTAAGCTCAAAAAGGTATGGCGTCATACCGCCCCATAGTGTTCGTTTTAAAAACTAAATGCAGCCATACGTACTTCTGGCTACATAATTCGTGATCTCCAGAAACGTATATAGGGTTACGTTCTCAGGATGCGCCTATGTTGCATAAAATAGAGGTGTCACATCCATAACAAAGCTTTTTCCTTATAAATACAAAAATGAAAAATAAAATAAAATCAATCATTTTTGTTCAATAGTGAGCTGACTCTTATCCTTCTGATGATCACTATTTCTTTTGGTTTGTGCAGTTTAATTCACAGAATTTCTACAAAGCATATTGTTTACTGTAAACTCGCTAACTTTTTAGTCACATTCATAACCCATGTGTATTTCCCTCAGTTAAAATATGAAAAATGTTTACAGATGGATATTTTTCTGATCCCCTAACTCTGTGGTTAGTTGTATTGGAAAATATAACCAGAAGTTTTAATATAATTTTTACATTACATTTACATTTATTCTTACTTTATGAATTAATGTTTATAATTTTTGCTGCAAATGTCACATCCATAACGCTGGAATTGATTATAAATATTTTTTTTTCTTGTTTATGACTAGGGCTGTGCGATTAATCCAATTCGAATTACAATCGCGATTTAAAACATTGCGATTAGCTGCGATATGAAATATATTATTTAACTTCCCCCACCCAGAGCATACAAGTGACTGCCGTCTGTGTGTGACAGTCTTACTAGCCAATTGAGTGAGCCCACTTTTGTTCTGCCCAATCAGAATCGCTACCAAACAATGCGGAACATCCACAATAAAAACAAACAGGAAATCGCGAACGAGTGGGATGGTGGCATCTGCCGCTTCAGAAGCATTAACAGACAAACTAATATACTGTAAAAGAAAAAAAGCACTAATATGGGAATACAGTATATTGCTTTCAAAGTCACAGACACCAAACAAAACCAGGTCATTTATAAGAACTATTGCAAGCTGTTGCTCGTTTCCACCAAAGAAAACAAAAATTATAAAAGTTACAAATGTGTTTATATCTCACATTCAGACTTTCTTTCTCAGAACTTCTGATATATAGGCGCACAATTTTACAATCATGTTTTTTTTTCTTATAATTATCAGTTATGAGAGGTTTGAGTATCTGGCAATGCTGAGATAATCTTCCAGTTTTGAGAATAAAAATAAGAACTGCAAGATTTACATTCTGACTTACAAAAAAAGAACAAATAAACAGATTTGATCACATCAGATTTGTGAGACATTAACTCACAATTCAAAAAGAAAGCCAGTAAACTCAAGAGTTGTGATTTAAAACGTGATACTTGTAGTTATGTTTTTGCGGATTAATTTGTATAAAACTTTTCACAAAGTGTTGTTTTTTTATGCAGCGGATGCCCTCCCAGCTGCAACCCATACACCCTCATTCACAGACTTACACTACGGACAATTAAGCTAACCCAAATCACCTATAGCACATGTCTTCAAACTTATAGGAGAAATCAAAACACCCAGAAGAAACCTCTGCAAACATTGGGAGAACATGTAAACTCCACATAGAAATGCCAACTTAGGTCGAGACTCGAACCAGCCACCTTCTTGCTGTGAGACGACACTGCTAACCACTGAGCCACCATGCAGACCAAGATTATACCACACAATTGTAAAATATATCTCAATACTGTAAGTACAAATGATGAATTGTGATTAAAAATGTGATGAAAAGTTGACCAAAAAAGAGAAAAATTGCATGAATGAACGATAAATTCCCAGCAAGCATACAGATGTCCACCTTCTTTAGAATACCAGCCTGTATTCTTAAACAAGAGCAGCTTCTATTTTTAGAGCACTAATCCAAGTGATTAGCCAGACACCAGATTTTCTTCCATTTAAATAACGTACACTCTTAGAAATAAAGGTACGGGAGCTGTCAAAAGTGTGGTACCTTTTCAAAAGGTACACATTTGTATTTTAATGGTCCATATTGGTTCCTCAAAAGTATATATTAGTGGCTACAAATTTTAAGAGGAACACTTTTGTACTTATTAGGTACCAATATGTACCCTTGAGGTATTAACATGGACCTTTTAGGTACAAATTTGTATCTTTTGAAAAGGCACCACCCCAGTGACAGCTCGCATACCTTTATTTCTGAGAGTGTAGAGTGTTATTTAAATGTAATTTCTCAGCACTTCCTTGAGGCTTTTGCCAAAATATTTATTCAAATAGGCGTTTAATATGAATGCATAGTTGGTTTATCAACCACAAAATCACTTGTATTTCATTTGAACAAGTGGTGGCAAACACAAAACAACGTAGCCATTATTTCCCAAGCAAAATATTCTTTATAGACTCTGATATGTTATGTGATAAAGAGTAATGCAAATGTATTTCAGTCAGCTGTGACAGCGCCAGTTCTGTTAAACTGCCATACTGATGATCGGTAGCATTTGCATTCCACAGAGCTGATTTGTTCAGATATCTTTGTTTTAGTGCCAGATAACATGCAAGAGCACGGAGATAAGGCAGGAAAATAACTGCCAAAACACATCACAACAAATTTTGAGTCCTCCAGTCATACTAAAGTTTATCACTTGAGATCCTGTTGAGGTGATGAATGTACAAGGTAATAAAATGCTGGGTTCCACACAATCAGTTTGTGTTGGGACAACATGAAGGAATTAAGTTAACTTAGTTTTTACACATTTAAGTGGATTGAACATAAAACAATTAAGTTGCCTCAAAGCAAACTCAAAGAATTGTGTTTTCAGCTCATTTTAAATCAGTAGTTTTAACAAACAAACTTTTGAGTATATGTCAAATAAAGAAATATTCAGTCCCACCAACAATCCCATTTCAGCATTATATTTCATTTTTAAATTCCAGAATGCCATATGAATGATATAAATATCCTATAAATTATCCTCAAGTCAATTATCAATTTGTCGTTTACTCATTTATGCACATCAGTTCTTAATTTTTTAATCTTTAGTCATATAAAGTGCTGTTTCATTAACCTTCACTGTTGTTATAGCATTGAGATAATATTAATGTTTCTATCAGTATAGATAGTTACAGTATAGTTTTGTCTGATCTGTTTTCATTTTATTTTTAATTATAATTATTTAATAAAGCGTTTATCATGTAAGTTTTAATTAATCTACATTGGTTTATATTACTTTTTATTTATTTATGACTTCATTTAACATTTAAGTAGTGAAATGTTTTATAGTTATGAACTCCACTGTAATAATCCTGCCATTTCAGTATGTGCCACTTACATAAAACATGCCTTTTCTTGTAGGTTGCATCAGTAAGCAAGCATCTGGCAACATTACTGGATTTAACAACTAATGTGCATTTATCTGTCTGTGTGGTCAAAGAAAGACATGGGGTAGCCTAATTAAAGTACATGCTGAAGCCTGTTTTGAGTAAAATAGGCTTCACACATAATTCCACAATAAATACTAACTGAAAACTGTTCATTATTTAGCATCGTATAGGCTATTAAATATTTAATGTTAAATATCACAAAATACAACAAAACATAAAATATGTACACAACCGGTCAAAAATTCGGTGTGAGTTTTATGTGTGCTTTTTTTTTCAAGAAAATTCATCAAGGCAGCATTTATTAAATGTAAAAAAAATAATCAACTATTTTATTAACATTTTAAATAAATGCTTTCTCATTGTATATAGTTTCAAATGAAATTATTACTCCAGTCAATATTGCTTTTATTACTATCACCATTATATTTAATAATAATAATAATAATAATTATTATTATTATTATTATTATTATTATCATTATTAATATTAGAGGAATTTCTGAAGGATCATGTCACTCTGAAGACAGGAGTAATGTACAATAACATTTCCCAATTTTATAATTTGTACTGTATTTTTTGATAAAATAAATGCAGCCTTGGTGAGAAGGATAAGCTTAAAACAGTGTTTTATTGTCATTACAACAGACTAAAAATCTCACGGGTCAGTTTGTTAAAAATGTATTCACAACAATTTTTAATTCACAGAAATGAACTTGTTCATTAGAGTCATTTGTTCGAGAAGCGTAGATATGCTGTATCCGGGGCGGGATAATTTTGACTCACCAAAAGAACCGATTCAAATGAGTCATTCGTTCGATGATCGCTCTAGTACACTTCGCTGTGTTTAGACTGTCGTTGACGAATGTGTGTGCAGGAAACATGATTTTGGTACGTCTTCTTCAATGAGCGCTGTAAATATCGTATTCCGTTTCATTATTTTTGTTTAAATAATAATAATAATAATAATAATAATAATAATAATAATAATAATAATAAAGCCTATTTATTTCCCTATTCTCATTACGGCGTCGTTGTCAGTAACTTGAATTGCGTTTGTTTATCAAGGAAAGATCCGTTTGAACCGCATCACTGACACGGGTGTATAAACCATTTTACTGCGTCTCTCACAAAAACATACGCGCGGAATAAAAACGTTACATCGACGTCACATTTGAAACCGAGACGTGCCGTTCTAAACGAAGTTTCGTACCTAGAACATAACGGCGCGAAAAACGAACCGACATCATATATGCAACAGTGTAAGTTAGCAGAGAAGCTCGATTGTTTTCGAAAGCTTCCTGTTTGAGTGACATTGACATTACTGAACTTACTGTCTGTGATCTTCTGCAGCCCGAGTACATCCTCCGGCGTTATTTCTGGGCTATTTAACAAATCCTCCTCAGTCGTGTACGGGACTCCCGCGTCGCAGCCTTGCTTCACTTTCATCTCTGAACGCGATATATTTACGACGCACGAGTTGCAGTCTCCTCTCTGGCAAGGGCCGTTTGTTTGCCTCACCTCTGCTGTCTGCGTTCTGCGTCCTGGTTATTTAACGCAGGCTCTTTACTGATACAAGAATAGCGCATTCACCTCCCCCAGTCAGTCAGTCTGTCAGCCTGTCTACTAAAGATATTGAGTTATTTTACTCCGTCTTTTCTAAGGCCAGTGGTTGTGGCTCTAGCTCCGTAATTTGCATGTCTGTCTGCTGCTTACAGTAGTCGCTGAAGGTATTAGAGCAAGCACTTCATGTAATCGAGCAATACCCGAGAGATGAACAACAGTATTAACTTAGAGCGGAAGTGGGCAGACGGTTCTTTTAAGTCGCAGCTGTTCTCAACTAAATGTCTGTCAGATATCTATTTTTATGCTCATTATAAAACAAGTTGCATTTATTTATTTGCAAATTAAATAGCAACGCAAAATACAAAATTAGGATTTTGTTTCGAAATCATTTGTTTTTATAGAAGGTTAATTGTTAAAGATGAAAATAGGGTGCAAGATAACAAAATAAAACAGCTTTGAATTTCTTTTTTAAAACTTGTTAAAATAGATTTTTAGTGGATTACAATGCATCCCCAATTTTCACCCAAAAATGAAGATTCGGTTATTTATTCACACTTTGCTTACTTTTTTACTTATAGGCTATTTATTTACTTAGGCTCAGGGGCAAAGCAACTGGGGGATATGCCCTCTTACTTTTAGACACAGACAATTTAGGAACAGGTGATTAATAATTAAGTAACACTTTATTTTGATGGTCCATTTGAGTATTAGTAGACTGTCTGCTTAATATCTGCTGATACTGCTCCTTCAACAGACATTTAACTGACTAAGAAACTTTGCAAGTACATGTCATCTCAAGCTAACCCTGACACTAACCATAACCCCAACCTAACAGTCTACTTATGGTCTAATGAGAATTAGTTGCAATGTAACTTAAATTTAACAAAAGGACCATCAAAATAAAGTGTGACTAATAATCATATGATTGTAAACTTTTGGATTTCATGCTGCTGCCCCCCCCCCTCCCCAATTTGTAAAATGTGAGCTATGCCCTGCTTAGGCTTTATTAGTTTCTTTCTTGTGTTAAACACAATAGAAGATAATTTGAACATTTTGCAAACCAGTAACAGCGGCTGACTTCTATAGTAGGAAAAACAAATGATAGGGATTTTCAAAATTTTTTCTTTAACCCAAACTTTTTTACTTAGATTACTTAAGTTTTTGACAAGTAGAAGCCTACAGTAACAGCCCTATGTATATTCATCTTGGGCTTAGGTGGTTTAGGACAACTGTTTTTCAGCAAAGTCAAGTAGTTTGGGTTAGGCTTCGACCATGTGTTGATAATTCACTTTTTAATTAAACCTAAAAATCAGTTTGATCAATTACTCCTTTATTGTTTAAAATTATTAATGCACAATTTTAATATTACAACTTTAAATGGTGCACAGATTGAACAAGTGGCCTCTTATAAATATTTAGGTGTCTGGCTTGATGATAAGTTGACTTATAGTTGGCATATCAATAGCCTTAAAAAAAAAAAAAAACTCAAACCAACATTAGGTTTTTATTTTCGTTTAAAAAAATGTTTCCCCATTCGCAGCACGAAAACATTTAGTTGCGAGTATCAATGCTGGATTACAGTGATATACTTTATCTGCACGCACCTCTGAATGTTTTAAAAATCACTGGATATTGTTTATCACAGTTCCTTGGGATTTGTCACTAGTTTAAGTGAAATCACACATCACTGTGATTTATATAAATTGACAGAAGTAAGGAGCAACATATTTTAGTAATAATTTTTAAAGCTTTAGTTGGTAAATTACCACAGTATATATCTAATTTATTGAAGTACTGTTCAAATACTTACAATACCAGATCAGCAGATATTATCTAAGTATGCTCCAAATGTATGGAATGAGCTTTAAATGCTACATATAAAATCTGGACCATCTATCGCTATTTTTAAAAATATTTTAAAGACTGTCAATATAGAACAGTGCAATTGATAGTGGTTTATGCTATTTTTGTGTGTGTGTATGCATTGTGGCATGTATTTTTATTATTTATTTTTAATTTTTTGTATTTTGTTACTTTGTCCTATGATGCCTGTCTTGACCAGGACTTCCTATTAGAAGAGATATTGTATCTCAATGGATTATTCCTGGTTAAATAATAAAATAAATTAAATTAAAATAAAAAGAGGCCTACAGGACAGAATAATAATTACTCTGAATGAGTGTTATACATTTTTTACAAAATGCATACATTTATACAAAAATGCCAATTGACCCAGCCGGGGCTCGAACCAGCAATCTTCTTGCTATGAGGCGACAACGCTACCTATTGCACCACCATGCTGCTCTTTTTGATATGATACAGATCAAAAATTCACATTCAATCATTATGTACCTCAGTGGTTGTTCTCGTCTCATTTATTATGCACTTTAAATAACAACACATAAAATATTAAAGATTTATTTTAATAACAACATGTCCGGAATTCTAAGCTCTCAAGCTGAGCTTTTGATCAGTGAATTAAGGACATTGTAAAACTGGGCTTTGAAGTCCTTTATTTTTGTTGATTTATTTTCTTGGAAATGTCTTTTAGATGCCAGCCTGATCCATCCCTGAGAAAGATGAAGAGTAAAATGTAGCAGGATCTCCTCAATTTCATAAATAATTTCATCTACTTCCTAGCCGATTCGCCCTGATCATCACATAATACAAGTGAGCTTCATCAAGAAGCAGCTGAGTATATAATGAACTGCATCCCTTCTGGTTCAGATCAGCTTCAGTTCGTTATTCATGTTCATATGGTATTCTTATATAAACTAATGGCTTAAATAGGAGATTAAAGCAAAGCAACACATAAAGTCACTTGATAGTTCATCCCTTATTGGTAATATCTATTCCGTGCAGCATTTTTGACTATGATGGATTTTTTTTTACACTCTGCAGGTTCTTGTTATGTCCATCTGTCCATGGTATTTCTTTCCTTATGCCAGCTCGAAGCAGCCTCTGTGATGCGTCTGCATGTCTCTCACTCTGCGAACAGACTGGATCTGAGGGTGATTGGCACCCCATTCGTTCCAGTGTTTGTAGGATCCAAATTCAAACAGGTACTGATATCCACGGTAGCCTGGGTACTGATATCCAACCCACCTGGTAAAACATGAATGAAGCATATCATCGCAATTTAAATTATAAGGTTCTATCTTATGTCAAAATTTATTTTATTTTTTAGATGTTCTTACTCTCTGATGACTTATTTACATATGTGAGGTTATGTATATATTGGGACTTTCTACAAAAGACAAATTCTAACTTTATAAATGTTGTATTTATGAACCAGTCAACACATTTAAGACACACAAAAGTACCAATGTTAAATGCCAAGATGAGTGATATTAGGATGATTCACTGAATTATTTACTCACAATTTACTCTCATTTAAATGATTATAAACCTTTCAGTTTCTTTCTTCTGTTACAGACAAAAGAAGTTCATCTGAAGAAAGCTGGAACCATTGACTTTCATAGTAGGAAAAAAAATGAGCCAATGGTTACAAGTTTCCAGCTTTCTCCAAAATATGTTTTGGGTGATAAAGAGTGCTGTAGATTTTAAATTGTATACTATCCCTTTAAGTCCATGAAAATTAGCCTTTTTGTAAAGAATTAAATCCAGACAAAGAAATGCTTTGATTAAATTTATATTGATTTCATGACATTTTTCAAACTGTGGCTGAAAACAAAAATACTGTAAAACACACACACACACGCACGCACGCACGCAGGCACACACACACACACACACACACACACACAAGTAATAAAATACTGTAAATATTAGAGAAAACACATGTAAACCAATATACAGTCAAATCTATTGGGAGTATAGGACACTATTGGGAGTATGCACAGAACAACACAGACCTTCCACCATTTTTAATGTATGCAGACTGATTGCTAATTGAAGATTTTTCACTTCAGTGAATTCATACTGATCTTGGTAGTTTCTAATGGTTAGGAATAGATGATTTCTGTTTAGTTACCATAGCTAAAACAATGGAGTTTACACATTTGCAAGACCTGTCTTCTACTCTGCTGGGATAGTGATAATGGAAATTAAGTGGAACCTAGTTTCTTTAACCAGGTCAAAGCAAACAAGAAAAACTGTATTTGCAACATAATATAAATGCATAGTTAGAATATTTAGCAATAAGCAAGAATGCCAAATGCTTTAAAGTTCTTAAGCCAAAACTGCTCAGAATGCTGAAAAATCCTTATAATTCCATAAAAGTTGGTGATATGTGTTTTAAAAATCACTGATATGCTTATTCAATGTTTTGTTACAGTTTTTCTCAGTGGCTTTGGTGCATTTCTCACAACACTATTTACATTTGCACAACAGTTAATGTATTTCTCAAAACAATTAGTACCAACTGCAAAACCTAGTTGAAAACCTGCAAGTGTCTCTTTCTCAAAGTGGATAGCTCATTTCTCAAAAGCAAGTAGTCATGTCAATGCAATAGTCAGTGCAAAGTCCTGACACCATTGTTTATGAACAAGTCAAATAGTCAAATGGCTGTGTCATTATGACAGTTTCAAATGCAAAAAAGTCAGATTTTGGTGACACTTCCTAAAATGCTAACCATATTCTATTGGCACAGCCATTTGAAATGTACAGTAAAGTTAGACATCACTCCATTTGGTGGGGTTTTGAGTACAAGACACTGAATATGTATGTTTCACATTTTTACTGCATATACTCTTTGCAATTCAGATTTATTTACAGTATTGTGCAAAAGAATACAGTTTTTCTCTGTCGCTTTGGTGCGTTTCTCACAACACTATACTGCATTTCTCCACAACAGTTAATGCATTTCTCAAAACAATTAGTACAAACTGCAAACCTAGTTGATAACCTGCAAAAGCGCGTCACATGCTCAAAATGGTAGCTCAGTCCTCAAAAACAAGTATTGATGTCAATGAAAATGTCAGTGTCATCAAGATGAAAAGTCCTGACACCGTTGTTTATGAACAGATTGTCAAATGGCTTTGTCATGTTTTCATTATGACAGTTTACTTTTCAATGCAAAAAAAAAATCTGAATTTGTTGACACTTCCTCAAAATGCTCAAGACAGCACTATATTCTATTTGCACAGCCATTTGAAAACTACAGCAAACTTAGACATCACTGCATTTAGTGAGGTATCTGAGTACAAGACACTAAACATGTTCCGCATTTTTATTGCATTTGCTCTTTACAATTCTAATTTATCCACAGCATTGTGCAAAAGAATAAATACACCCTTATTTACAACAAACATAAAGTTCTATTGGGTAGGGCTGTGCACAACTGTAAACAATATTGCAGAACAAATTGGAACCGAACCTACAACATACACAGGCCTGTAAATCATTCATGAAATTGTTCAATTTTTAAGAAATTTTCAGGAAAATAAAGATTAAATTTTTTTAAATAAAATTTGTTGACAGATTTTGACAACTAGTTTAACATTTTTGTAAGTAATGACTCAAGTAATGAAATGAGGACTATTAGTTTTATATGGAATGACTATTCAGCATTCACAAGTTTAGTTAATTTTGACTGACATGACATAAGCAAATGATAATGTTATAAAACAGCAAAGAGTTGAATGAAAGCAAATGATCCATGTCTAATAGCATTTGCAATTTGTTGGAAGGAATGAGAAACTGCTACTATGATGTGCACAAATGACTAATTGTTTTGATAAATGCATTAACTGTTGTGCAAATGTAAATAGTGTTGTGAGAAATGCACCAAAGCCACTGAGAAAAACTGCAATAAATACACGAGAAGTTAAATGACTTACGTTCCACCATTTACTTGAATGCTGCCAACTCTGTCCTGGAAGCCATGGCACCACAAACTTGGGATGTCCTCATCAGAAACTTCCATCTTACGACCGTCAAAGTTCATGCACTCATACAGACAGATATTATGGTCCTGTGGATTCTACATGGTAAAAACCATCATATTTTATGGTTATTCATATTTTATGTTCTATCCTGTTTAATTGGTGATAAAATGGGAAATAGAGCTATTAACCCACCATTCGAACTGGCCGGACAGACATGAGGCGATCACAACGGTAGCTGTTGGACCAAGTGGCCCAGAGTGGGTAATCACCCCTCTCCAACATGAACATCTCACCGGCCATGTTCTGTTGCTCGAAACCTACCCACCTGCAGGACGGTAAAGAGCATGCATACTGTCAATGCTCCGTTTTTCTTTGTCAAATATTTTCCAAATAATGTTTAACAGAGCAAGGACTTTTTCACAGTACTTCCAATAATATTTTTTCTTCTGAAGAAAGTCTTACTTGTTTTGTTTTAAGCTTACTTGTTTTGTTTTGTGCAGTTTTAAATTTATTTAAAGCCATTTTAAGGTCAATATTATTAAGCAATTTTTTTGTTCAATTGTCTACAGAAAAAACATTATACAGTGATTTGTATTGAATTATCTTAACTTGCCTAGTTAACCTAAATTACCCAGTTATGCTCTTAAATGTTACTTTAATCTGTAGAAATGGCTCGAAAAATAGTAAAATATTATGTACTATCATCATGGCAAAAATAAAATGTATCAGTTATTAGAAATGAGTTATTATATTGTGTTTAGAAATGTGTTGAAACAATCTTGGCTCCATTTAGCAGAAATTGGGGAAAAATATACAAGGGGCTAATATTTCAGGAGGGCTAAAAATTCTGACTTCAACTGTAGACTCTGCTATTGATGACTACTTCTTTTAATTGCCCCCATATTCAAAGGTTTCATAATTAAATTATTTAACAGAAATTTGTGGTTTTAAATATTTAACAAATCTTTTTTGAAAGAATTGTTTTATCCTCCCCATGCTGCATGTTGATAGTGTTGTTTTATATTATATTATATTTAAACATTTCCTTTTCTTTTAAGTACTAATAGAATTGACAAAAAATATACTCAAATGTATTAGAACTATTACTCCAATTTTTATTGTACAGGGTGGGCCATTTATATGGATACACCCTAATAAAACTTATTAGGCGTTTCAAAAGAAAAAACAATGGTGTGCTTGGTTTGAACATAAATTTATTCATTCATGAGTTATTTGCAAGCCCCCTGTGCCACAAACAGGACGTTAATATCACCAACCATTCCCATTTTATTAAGGTGTATCCATATAAATGGCCCACCCTGTACTTCTCGTGACCCCTCAGAAATCTTTCTAATACTGTATACTGTATGCTTTTTAAGAAACAATTTATTATGTTAAAAACAGTTGTTCTGCTTAAAATTTTAAGAGGAAACATTTTACATGATTTCTTGAAAAACTGAAGGATCTGTTTTGGTGTCAGCACCAAATTACATTTACAAAAGTGATTTTACATATACTAAAAACTTTAAATGCAACTAAACTGTATGCTTCAATGTTTCAGATTACTGTAAAAATAATATGACATTATGAAATAAAATTCCTTCATAATTTAGAACTTGCTTATTTTGATCTTTACTTAAATTATACAAAAGGGTGAGTCTTCATATTGAAATTAAAAATTAAGATTTTTAATGACATTTTGGCTAGTGGCAACGTATAAAGGTCAGAAAATGACTGGAAACTTTAAATAGAATCTTTAATAAGTAAATTAATTGTTATAAATATTACATAATTTTTATAGAATGCAAACTATTGTTAATCTGAAAGATTATGGAATCAATCTAGGGCCATATATACTTGCAAAATAAAATAAAGTATTGCAAACAAAAAATAAAGTATTGAGCAAAAATAAATGAATAAATGTAAATCTCCAAAAATTGCGAAGTGAAGTTAAGTTTCACAAACTAATTTCGAGATGAACATATGATATGTTTGACGACAGCTTGTACTTATCGCTAATCATTAGCTAGCTGGATCATTATAAAATTACTATAAATATCCTGTCTAAACTCCCCCTCCCACATCCTTTCCTTCTTCCTCCTCCTCAATTCTAGGATTTGGCGACACAGCGGCTCAGTGGCTGGCGCTGCTGTCTTGCAGGCCAATGGTTCAAGTCCTAATTGAGCCAATCGCCACTCTCTGCGCAGAGTTTGCATGTTCTCCCCGTGTTCGTGTGAGTTTTCGGTTTTCTCCCACAGTCTAAAAAATTGAATTCTGAACAGTAAAAATGAAATTTGCAAACAAAAAAGAACCGTAAATAAAAATGAAGCGGTGAAAAAAAAAAATATATATTTGCCTTTACAAAATCCTTTCAGTCAATTTCATTGCTAATTTAGATTTTTTTTTTTGTCATGTTTATGACAGGCCCGGATCTACTGGGCTGTAAGACCACCTCGGTGAGACTATCTATCTGTCTCTCTCTCTATCTCTCTATCTCTCTATCTATCTATCTATCTATCTATCTATCTATCTATCTATCTATCTATCTATCTATCTATCTATCTATCTATCTATCTATCTATCTATCTATCTATCTGTCTGTCTGTCTGTCTGTCTGTCTGTCTGTCTGTCTGTCTGTCTGTCTGTCTGTCTGTCTGTCTGTCTGTCTGTCTGTCTGTCTGTCTGTCTGTCTGTCTGTCTGTAAATGAAACAATACACATTCTAATGCACATTTTTGACCCATAAACTAATGATTGCTAGTTATCTTATCTTCTGATGATCAATTTTAATGTCATGTATATGATTTGTCAGACAAGTATACTCACGGCCCACACTCCACTCTGATGGAGCCCACGCGCTTCAGCCCCTTGTCACAGACGTTACGACACTCTCCACTCAGCTCCATCATGTGCCCTTGGAAATTCTCATACTCAAACAGATATATCTGATTGGAGATCACACAGAAAAGACAAAGACCTGTACAAAACACATGTAACAGGAAGGCGAGAATCTAAGGGCATGATAAGTTTGACATACTCTGTGGGAGCTCTTTCCTGTGGCAAAGCGACTTCCCATACTTCCTTGAACTGCAGTATGTGACATGGCTGAAACTGTTACCAACACAAGAGAGATGACACATGTATTAGAATGCATTTGCAGAGAAACAGTATAAGGTTTGAAAAAAATCTCTCTCTCGCCCTCTTTTCAATAATATCTTGCATATAAAGCAGTAAGCTTCTTAACTCAAATCCCTTAAAAGCATCTAAATCTATATCTTTGCATTTCCCACATGGAACCATATTTAAAAGGCGCCCACTCTGAAATAAAAGTACTGTGAATATAAAAATATTAATAGATTTTAAAATGTCATTTAAAAATGCATTAGAACTCAAATCAGCCATAGGGCGACGCTGTGGCGCAGTAGGTAGTGCTGTCGCCTCACAGCGAGAAGGTCACTGGTTCAAGGCTCAGGCTAGTTCAGTTGGTGTTTCTGTGTAGAGTTTGCATGTTCTGTTTAATGGAGAGAAGATTTTTTAAACACATTTCTAAACATAATAGTTTTAATAACTCATTTCTAATAACTGATTTATTTTCTCTTTGCCATAATGACAGTAAATAATATTTGACTAGATATTTTTCAAGACACTTCTATGCAGCTTAAAGTGACATTTAAAGGCTAGGTTAATTAGGTTAACTATGCAGGTTAGGGTAATTAGGCAAGTTATTGTATAAAGATGGTTTGTTCTGTAGACTATATCGAAAACAAAAATAGCTTAATTTAATTTTAGAAAATAGCTTATAAGGGGCTAATAATTTTGACCTTAATATGTTTTTATTTAAACTCCTTTTATTTTAGCTGAAATAAAACAAATAAGACTTTCACCAGAGGAAAAAATATTATCAGACATACTGTAAAAAAATTTCCTTGCTCTGTTAAACATCATTCGGAATATATTTGACAAAGAAAAACGGAGCATTGTGAGTATGCATGCTCTTTACCGTCCTGCAGATGGGTAGGTTAAAAGAAAAAAAAATCTTAAGAAAAAAAAGTTTAAAAATTCTTTAATAATATTCACAAATTTATATAATAAAAAAATTAAATGTATTTTATAATTGTTATCACATTTGTTTGATCATTCAATAAAATGTTTATTTGTTTTATCTATTTATATATTGTTTATTTTTGAAAAATGTTTATTTATTCATCTATTTTTAATTTATTATTAATTTTAACGTTTTAAAATAATTGCATTTTATTCTTTCCTGTAATGCAAAGCTAAATTTCAACATCATTGCTTCATTAAAAATATGTAATATTCAATAATAATTTGTATTCAAATAAATAAAAAAGCATCAAAATCTGTATCTTTACATTTCCCAAATGAGCTAAAATGGTGTCCCTCATTAATCTGATCAAAATTACATAAAAAAAACAACAACTGTTAAATAATATTACAATTTAAAAATAATTTTCTTTTTTAATCTTCAGTTCATTCCTCTGAAGCAAAGCTAAATTACTGACAGCCACTACTACAACTTTAGTGTCACATGATCCTTCAGAAATGATTTAAAATAATATAGTCTTCTCAAATCAATTAAAACACTCTCTAAAAACTCAACCATATTCCAAATGGCTTCTTCAAGGAAACTTGAATTTGAACCCCTCTCCCCAATCAATTCTCACCAGTCAGGCTCAGAGCAATGCAAGACGAGCGATGGCAGAGGAGAAGACCCCAAGGCCCGAATCTACAAGAGATTAAGCCTTCATATGAGTTCTATATACATATATATATGGCAGCAGTACTTCTGGAGCAGAATGAGCCAAGGCTATTGGATAAAAGTTATGGGCGTTTGAGGTGTTTGGAGTGCAGGCTTATCTGAGTGACCCTGCTGACTCTGCTCTTTGCTTTGTTCAGGCCTCGGCTGGATGTCGGATGTCTACCTCCATCAGCAGAAAGCATGGCTTTCCCTCCTCTCTTGTGCGTTCATTCACTTTCTACAGCACGACTACCAGCAATGTGCTGACCTCAGTGCACACACCTCTCCATTGAGAGAAAAAGAACTTGTGTGTGAAGCTTCAGCACTTTTCTGATGGTGGTTACAGCTATATTTAATGTCATCAAGGATTTGGAGCGTATGTTAAGAGTGTGCATTTTTGACGTTCATTTCCTGGCGCACAAACATGTAAGCGGTAATGCATGTAATTAATCACCTAATCATACAATCCCCATCCCTACTAAAAAAGTAGGTCTCTCAGAAGGACCGTTTTGACGCCCACTCAGCAAAATTCCATCAGAATGAGTTATTTTCGTCTAATTTTCTTGAATGCTGTAATTCTCACACTTAATTCTACTTTGTCATGCACCTCCTAGTGTGGAAGTGGGCCCCAGCCTGCTTTGCATAAAGTCAAAGGAGTGGGCAGGACATGGATGTTGAATGGATGTGCTCTTGCGTATGTATGCATGTGTGTGCGAGTATGTAAAGGCAGGTGGAAGTGGATCTCTCTGGCTGTCTGTGCAGTGAGAGAAGAACGGAAAGATCTCAGTGCAGGATAAAAATGGATTTTTCTTGAATATTTGGCCATTTTTGGTGGTAATTTTCTTATAATTTTGGACTGGAAAGAATCTTTAAAAGGATAGTGCATTCAAAAAAAGGGAAATTTGCTTTTAATTTACTCACGCTCAGGCCATCTGATGAATATTGATGATTTTTTTTTTATTCAGTCGAGCCGAAAAGAAGAGTTTTCGACAAAACCGTGGTCCTGGTGATTCATAATGTGTATGTCAAAGCTTTGAGAGTCAAAAAAGTTCCAAATATAGTTCAGTTTTTGTGCACAATCCTTTCATTTTCCTAATAAGACCTTAAAAGTGATAGTTCACACATAAAAGAACATTCTGTTGTCATTTATTCTGTCTTTACTTGTTGCAAACATGTAGAATTTTTTTTTTTAAAAAGCTGGAAACCTGTAACCATTGACTTCTGTGGAATTAAAAAAAAATGGAATTCAATGGTTACAGGTTTTCAGCTTTGGAACCTGGTTTAGTAAATAATGAGTTAATTTAAATGTTTGGCTGAACTATCCCTTTATTTACTTTATTTTGCCTATATTATATATTTTTGACTCTCGTAGTGTCGTTAGCCATTGACTTGCATTTTCTCAATCACCAAGGAACATGATTTCAGTAAAAAACCCTCTTAAATATTCTGCTGAACTAAATCATCATGGATAAACAGCAGATTTTCTTTTTTCGGGTGTGCTAATCCTTTGTGTTGTCTTTGCAGGAATGATCTCAAGTCGAAACAGCTTGCGTTTTGTTTACACAAGCATGTGTGTTTTGTTGTACACTTTGGTCATATGTAAAAGCATGCATGGAATCAATGTGCCTGGCATCCAGTCTGGTGGCAGATGCCAGTAGGCACGATGCCTCCCTGGCTGCGGCAGATGGCATTGTGAGTAGGGTAAAGCCAAAGGCTCAGTCCAAAACAATGAGTCCTGGTCCAAAATGCTGACTCCTGCCTGCCCTGTGGCCAATCTTCCCTTTCGGTCATGCTACGTATAAATACAGCCCTTAGTTGGAGGTCTGGAGACCGTTGTGTGGGACTCCTGAGCGCTTGCAGCTTTTTGTTGGGTAGGTCAGGTAAGCCTTGCTGTTTGCAGCCATGGCAGACATCTTTTAATTCACTTTGCTGATCTGCAGAATCTATGGGTGGGGCACACTATTCTATAGAAACTATTAAAACCCAGAACAAATACGGCAAGCTTTAACGAAACAAAACTAAAGAAAAATAAGTTTAAATCAAACTTTTTAAAGTTTTAATTATAATGCAATTAAAACAAGATTAGAAATTCTGTATTTTGCACAACATAACATCTTGTTATGTGTATTTCTTAAAATAAATGTTACTGCAATCAAATGAATAAAAATAACTAAAACAAAAAAAAAAAGATAATTTCTTGTATTTATTAAAAATAAATGAAAGATTAAGTGTTTCATGTGTTGCATAACAAAACACTGCTATTATTTCAGAAAAGTAAATATGAAGCAACTGAAAGGGTTTATTATTATTATTATTATTATTGTTACTATTATTAATATTATTATATTATTATTATTACACTGTAAAGGCCAAAAGTAAACTTTATCAAATGAAATGAATATAGTTAACTCAAAATTTGCTGAAAGTTAATTCTTCTCATTTGGAAAGAGTTTTAATCTCAGTTTTGAAGGTAATGAGTTATTAAATAGCTCATTGCTTCAACTTAAATGGAGTAAGTTCACAGTACTCATATAAATACTTTTTTTTTTTAACTCAAATGGTTTGTAACAATCGGTTTCCTCAAATGGTTTGAGTTGTCTAAACTGGAGTTGTCTTGGGTTTCACAGTACTGAGTTGGTTTGAGTTCTATTTTTAATGGGGTTTTACTGTGCAAAAATTGCTTCATTTAATGAAATGTATTAAGTTCAATCTACTCACTAGGATTAGTTTTTGAACTTTAATGGTTTGTTGCAATCGGTTTGCTCAAATGGCTTGAGTTACCTTAACTTTTTGGATTTTACAGTTTATTAAAATTATTATTTATTATTATTATTATTATTATTATACATTTTAGGCTTTCCATTGCATGAAACATTTTGCTGGCATTTTTTTAATAAAATGTCAAACTAAGGCTAATTTATACATTTACAAACTAAAATGCATAAAATGCTAATTAAATTAAATACAAAAATGAACATAAAATAATAAAAGAAAAAAGATTAGACAATTGCACAAAGCATTTACTCAGACGTTTCTATTTTACTCATGCTTCTGGGATTTATTTGACATTTTATGATATTCCTGGTATATACAATTTGTAAATTTGCATATGAATTTGCCATAAAGCTGTCATTTCTGTTTCAGTAAGCTGTTGTTTTATTATTATTTTTTGTGTATCTTGTAAATCAGCAGACAGAATCAGTGAGATTTATTTACTGTGGTTGAACATCTGGCTGCCATATCTTTCTTGTTCTTCTTCCGAAGGCTATTTGAAGAGTTGTCATAATACCTGATACAGAACTCATGCGTGTTTTTATGCCAATCCTTGTGTTCTTCAGGTCTATCAGCATTGAGATATCTTGAAAGATGGCTCTGACTAATCCCATGCCACTGGGGCCATGGAAGGCAAGTAAATGCTTAAAGGCTGTGAAATGCAATGTGAGATCATATAGAGTTTAATGTCTGTCTTTGTGGCTGTTTGTAGCTCACAGTTTATGACCAGGAGAACTTCCAAGGCAAGCGCATGGAGTTCACTGCAGCCTGTCAGAATATCATGGAGTGCGGCATGGATAACGTGCGCTCTCTTAAGGTGGAGTGTGGCGCGTAAGTCATGAACAAAACTCACACAAGCATCTAAAAGGGACAATAGCAGACCTCCGCTGGCTGAATTAAAGCTGCTACTAGTCTTTAGAAGTTTGGGGACACTAGGATAAATAAAAACAACTAAATTTTCACTAAGATTGCATTTATCTCATCATTACTAATATATTTTACTTGTTTTTTGCTGTAAAATAATACATTTGTTTAGTATTGTTAGGTGTAAACAGCATTTATTTGAAACTGCTATCTTTGATGCAATTCTAAGCTTTTACTATCACTTTTGATCAGTTTAATTTATCATTTAAATCTTTCTGACCCCACACTGAAAACAGTGGCATCTATTTTATACATATTTTTGTATTTAAAAAAATTTTGACAACCATATTTATATATTTAAAAATGTGTAGATATTACAAATATTATTTATCTTTTATATAGGAACTTCAAGAATGCATGAAAACAAATTAAATATGTAGCAGTGAGCTAATTTTTAAGATTTTAAAATAAATAAATAAATAAATAAATAAATAAATAAATAAATAAATTACAATAAAAAATAAATAAAATAGCAGTGGTGTGTAATTTTCTGTATGTGTCCTTTTGATCAGCTGGGCAGGTTATGAACACTCCAGCTTCTGCGGGCAGCAGTTCATCCTGGAGAGGGGCGATTACCCTCGCTGGGAGTCCTGGAGTGGCAGCAATGCCTATCACATTGAGAGACTCATGTCCTTCCGGCCAATCTGCTCTGCTGTGAGTCTCAAACCACGACAAGTAATCACTGCTCAAACACTTAAACCAGTGGTTTTCCATTCTAGTCCACGAGACCCACTGCTCTGCACATTTTTTATATTTCTTGAATCACATCTTACATTTGTTCCAAATTGACCTCAAGTAACTTTAGAACAGGAGTGTTCAACCCTTTCCTGGAGATCTACCTTTCTGCAGACTTCAGCTGCATCCTTGATCAAACACACCTGTCTTTAATTACCAAGTGCTCCTTCAGATCCTACTTAGTTGGTTAAGTGGTGTTTGATCGGGGTTGGAGCTAAACCTTGCAGGAAGGCTGATCTCCACGAACAGGGTTGAGCACCCATGCTTTAAAACTTGACTCCTTAGAATATTCCACCATTGTTCTAGTTTAAAGTGAGCATATATATTTAATTTAAGTAGCATTTTAGTGTGCAATAATTCTGGTTCAATTACGGTAGTTACGGTGTATCTACAGTGGTACATTAAAAACTATGACAGATCAAGCAAAGGTTTCACAGTATTTATTCTGGAGAAATTATTATTTATTTTAGTTTCTTCTGTTGAATACAAAAGAAATATTTTTAGAGAGAGCTGAAAACCTGTAACCATTGACTTTCATAGTATTTGCGTTTGCTACTTTGGATGTCAATGGTTTACAGCAGGGTCACAAAACTTGTTCCTGGAGGGCCGGTGTCCAGCAGATTTTAGCTCTAACCCTAATCAAACACACCTGAATGAGCTAATCAAGCTCTTAATAGGTATTCTTGAAACACCCAGGCAGGTGTCTTGAGGCAAGTTGGAGCTAAACCCAGCAGGGACACCGGCCCTCCAGGACCGAGATTGGTGACCCCTGGTTTACAAGCTTTCAGCTCTCTTTTGCTCAACAGAAGAAAGAAACTTAAACAGATTTGGAACTTTTGGAAGTGAGTGGTGAGTAAATAATGAATACATTTTCATTTTGGATTAAGCTTATCACTTTACTCACTTATATAGGTAAAACTGGCTACAGAACAAAACACTCTTGACCAATGACCTGCCTAGTTAACACACTAAAAAAATCCTGCTTTCCTCAAATTTTTAGCTGAATCAAATTAACTGTATGAGTCCATTGAACTTATATTAAGTTAAACTGACTTAAAACAGCTTGTGTAACTTATAAAATTAAGTTAGAACATGATTAACTTAGTTCAATAAGTAATAATAAACTAAAAACATATGTTGTCGTGAATAATTGATCATATAATTTTTACAGTGCATAATTAACTTAGTTAAGCCTTAAAATTGCACTTTAAGTTCAAAACTAATATCCTGTCATCATGGCACACTGTGAACCCCACTGTTTGCATTAATAAATAAAGCTAATATAACTTGACTACTTAAAATACAAAGTTTTGGCATCAAAACTTAAACAGGTGTGTTCAAATCACTCATTAGGCAGCAAAACATTTTAATTAATAATTTAAGTTCTCTGAACTTAATATTAATTTGTTTAAATGATTTACCATGTCTCTGTCTAAAATAATTGGTTGCGCTTGAAAAAGACAGCTGTGCTGATTGGCCGATAAATGTTATATGACACAAGGCGGTCATTTTGTTCGTGATGCTGAATTTTGCTGAAGCAGCGGCAGGAGAGAGGCACTACCTGAACCCATCTGACAAAACAAAGAGAAAAGTTAATTTAGTAAGTAGAGATTTAAATGCTTATATACATTTTTCTTAATTTATATGCATGCTAGCTAATGTAAGAATATATATATATATATACATACAGTAGCTGATTTAAGTAATCTGTACTTAAACATTTAGGTTAATTTAATGTAGAGACCACATTTGGTCAACTCAATTGATCGAGCTGTTGATTTTTTATTACTCAAATGAACTGAGGGGATGTCTTTTCTCAAATCATTTAAGTTGTCTCGACTCATTAGGATTTACAGTCCAAAGCTAAAATAAATTAGTTTTTAGAAATTAGTTATTGATTTAATTTGATTTATTTTGAGCAGATCATACATAAAAATTCTTTAACAAAAAATCTTAAGTTAATAAAATTGTTATGTTCAGAAAGGTGTTGAAATATTTGAACATAAGTGTCATCTGGTTGTAAAGACTCTGCAGGAGCTCCACAAATCCATAAATGAATTCAAAGTGAAGCAAAGGTTTCCTGTGTTCAATGAGTAGAAAGCAATGAACATTGTGTAAGGACCCTGACCAAGTAGGAACCCTGTCAATCTGAAAACAGCTCATGCAGCGAGCTCTTCCAATCTAAATCTAGCGTATTAAATAAGAGAGACATGCAACATATACAGAGCGGTAGGGCAAGAGGACTGAAATGGAGAACTACTGACTTTAATCATCTCTCCAGATTTAATATGATGTCTTTCCCAATGTCGTAATCTGCGCAGAACCACAAGGAGTCAAAGATCACGGTGTTTGAGCGGGAGAACTTCATCGGACACCAGTGGGAGATGACGGATGATTACCCATCTCTTCAGGCCATGGGCTGGCCTTCCAATGAGATCGGCTCCATGCAGGTTCAGAGCGGGGCGTGAGTACCACACTTCTCTCTCTAGACACCACAGATGGTCCTGTAAGCAGTGTTCCCTGGAAGCTGCGTGATCGCTCAAGCCACGTGCATCTGGTGTCACATTCATGCAAGAAAAAAATGGTCGAATGTGTGAGGATAGCGTTTGGATCTTAGTGAATAATAAATAACTGATCTTTCGGTAAGTCCCTCCCATTGAACGTGTATGAGCCAATGGCAATTGAGAGTCAGTTGCATGGCGACCAGAACTCTGACATCTTAAGAGGTTTCAGTGCAATTTTTAGATTCGAGAAACATAGGAAAGTTTTGGCTTCATGGTATTTTGCTACAAAAATGATAAACAATGTGGGTACTTGTAAGACTGATTTCAGGTATCCTAAGAAGATGGGCAACAGGAGTTTATTTGATTCCATTTCCCAAACCCAAACGATACAAATCATTTATATGTATAAGGATTTCATACTAACATGTAGCAAATATTTTCAATGTTCACAAATAATTGGGTAAGAAATAAATAGGGCGCTAATAATTCTGGCGTCAACTGTATGTAGTAACACAGCCTTTGCCTTAAATAAGCATAAACAGTTGTTGATCTGTGACAGATTGAAGATCTGTGCATTCTTAAAGTGACACCTGTTAGCAAACCAAAAAGTGGATCAAATTGAGAAACTCACTTGCTGCTCTTCACTAAATAACTGCAGTAGCTTTAATTAATATTTAAATTATTCAATGAATAAAAAGTGAACGAGATTTTATGACTTTTGCAACTTTAAAATAAATAAATGTATAATTACATTTCTGTTTAGGCCATTGATTTTAATAGGCTAAACTAGCACCGATATCGCAATATGGGCATCCACAATAGTCACATCGCAGGATCTGCAATGAAATTTGGATTATAGTTTAGGATTATATATATTATTTTGAGATTTCATAGTCACAGTTCAAAATACATGAGATTTGTTGAGTTACTGCAGAGTTTGACCATAATGGTGAAAAAGTTTAAAGCATTCAGATACTTTCAGTATCTTATAGAGAGTAATTGTTTTGAATTCATAAGTCTTTGCAGTGTTGTTTTATATGAGATCTTTTTCAATTTTTGTACCTGAATACAATTTGACTAGCCTTAAAATCAAAAATCATTGTTTATTTATTTTAAATTTTGCTCTATTGCATTTAGCTATATTTGTAATGTGTTTATTACATTTCATGCATGATTTGTTCACCCACAAAATCATGCAAATCAATAGAAAGTTAGTTGGTTGTTTCCAAATAGAGGAATTCAAGTCATCTGTTGAAATTGTATGTATATTGCAATATATAATGCAGAAGTACAAAATATCACTATCTCAGATTATTTGGCTAAACTTTTAATAAACCTTTATCTATTTTATTTTCAATTGTTTTCTAATGTATGGTATGTATTCTACCGTTTGATAGAATTTCTTTTCTTCCTCCATATCACTGTTTCAACTGTTAACCTTTTCAACTGTTTATTTTTATTTTTTTACAGTTAAACGGCTCATTTTGGGATTTGTTGTGGGTGGGTTTGGGTTTTGTAAATGCAAAACACCTCAGTTAAATTAAGATATGTTAATGTGTGTTTCAAAGTGTTTAGTTGACTAAAAATGTTTCCTAAAATTATCTCATAGATCTAAATGAAAACATACTTCATACTTAGTTACTCCTGAATTTATAGCTTTTAAGTAATATGATTAAAACAAATTAAAATTGCATTAGTTCAAATGAAATAGAAATTGTGCCTAAAGGTAAGCGTTTTTGAGCTTTTGTTTTATATTATATTATATTATATTATATTATATTATATTATATTATATTATATTACATTATATTATCTTATATTAAACAGCTTTTTTAGATAAGATAAGCTATAACAGAATGGTACAGTTAACTGAAATAAGAAATAACACTTTCAAGTGGCATCTACTGTATGATATAAGAACATTTTATATGCTGTACAAGTCTTTGCATAAGTAAGTGAGATGTTTTACAGGGAAAATACAGGGAACATTGACTGGACATTTCCTATATTTGCCAACTTTATATGGAACTACTAATATAAAAGAGTGGGTGTTTACGTGTGTCTTCTCACTGCCTGTAGCTGGGTTTGTTACCAGTACCCCGGCTATCGTGGCTACCAGTACATCATGGAGTGTGACCACCACGGCGGCGAGTACAAACACTACCGGGAGTGGGGTTCGCACGCTCAGACCTTCCAGGTGCAGTCCCTCCGCCGGGTTCAGCAGTGAGCGCCAATCGGCCAGCTCCCTTCCTCCATCCCCGACCTCCTCCTCCTCCTCCTCCAGCTCCTCCTCCACCTCCTCCTCACCTCCACCCCTTCATCCCAACACCAGCAAGCCCAGCACAGGCTGAGCGTCTGCTGCTTTGCTTCTTTCTGCATGCCATCGGTCTGAAAGAGAAGAGTGAGAGGGTGAACTCCAGCAGATTGATCCTGTGAGCCCCCGCCGCAGTGCTTTGCTCCTCATCGCTGTCATGATGCAGTCTGTGCAAAAGAGATCAATAAAGGGCACACACATGAAAAACAGAGCCATTGTGAGAGTTTGATTGGTTAATTCATGGTTGGCACTAAAATATCCTTGTTAAAACAACTTAAGGCAAAAAACTGCAACCAAAAAACAGTTTTTTATGCACCTGTCAAATTTTGTGAAGATTTCAAGTGTAAAGAAAACATCCAAAATACACTAATAATACAAATGTTTCTCTTTTTTATGGAACCAAATGAATGACATACTCATTAACAGAAGAACTCACAGAAATCAACCATCAGTTCATTTTAGACATTTTTAGGATAAAATACTTTTTTTAAATTGTTTTTATGTTTTTATTTCAGGAACATATAATGTACGTTTCTAGTAGAGTGTGTGTGTGTTTGTGTGTGTATATATACACAGACACACACATATTCAGACAACCACTTTTATATTTTATAAACAAAATAAAACAAGACATCTGAGTTCGATCGATGATCATTTTTTTGTGCTTATAGAATTATATTACAGTATAAATACACTAACCTTTTACTCAAACACATACCTAATATAATAAATGCAGTAATTCAGAGAAACTGAGAACATTTAAATGGTCTCTTTGTTCATACAAGCTTTTACTTTGCCCTTTTATATGTGAAACCTCATTATAGTTTTTTACTCCCTGGCTGTTCACATTTGTTTTCTCAGTTGATAAAAAAGAGACACTAAAAATCCACTCTATTAAAATAATTGACTAATATGATAAAGAAAATTAAACAAGACATCTGATTTCTACCTATGTTAATATTTTTGTGCTTATAGAATTATATTACAGAATAACCTTTTATTCAAACATGTACCTAATATAAAAAATGCAGTAATCAAGAGAAACCGAGAACATTGAAATGGTCTCTTTATGTTTTGCCCATTGCTGTGCACCTAGATGTTCTAATAATAACTAAATAATAGCTAAAACTATTATTAAATAATAGCTTAAATAGCTAAAACTTAAGATGAAATTGAAAATTAATTATTCCCACATTTAAATATAATTAAACCTTTAAATCCTGTCACAGTGGAATTTTTAAAGCTAAACTTTAAAACAAACGTCATGTTCAAATAAGACCAAATATTTTCCCTTTTCTTGGTAAAATGTTTTTATCTTACCATTGGGTTCGCCAGCAAAATAATCTCTTCGCCTGTGACGTAGAGAAACAGCGCCACCCAGCGCTTGTCAGAAGTTAAAGACCGGAAGCAGGCGCTGGGCAGTTATGAAACAACATAAACAAGATAACGAGCGGGAGCGAAAACACGCGTTCATGAAAACTTCGAAAGATTGTAACATTTCTTAACTGACGAACTTAAAGGAAAAAATGTCTGTCCTGTTGTCAGTGTTGGTCGGTGTGCTTGCTGCCTACGTATTGATTTATTATTGCTTGTTTAAAGGAGCCAGATATAAGGGGAACGCGACGTTAAATGGGAAAACAGCAATCGTTACAGGTTGGTAACCTATTAAAACGCATCACAATGTTTGTTAAGTTGCATACATCTCTTTGTTTATTTATTTATTACATTCGGCACTAAAAATGGTATATTGCAAACTGTTACAAAAAATCATATAAGCTGAATTTAAACAAGCAAATTAAGTTGAACATTACTAAATTTGTTTGTTTAAATTTAGCCCATATAAAGTGTTTACAACCACTTATCTTAAAAAAGAAATTGTTAATCAAAATATTTTTTCAGTGTAGAGATAATACTTAAGAAAATTTTATTATTTTGATCTATATAAATTAGAAGTATAATCTTTTAAATGTGTATACACAGCTAAGTCTGTTTTTATTGCATACTATCAGTTTTTGTTTTTTAATCTTTTTGTGTTTATTATTGTAGTTTGTTTGTGGTGTCTCATTACTGTTTATCAATAATCTGAATGCAGGTAGTAATACAGGCATTGGCAAAACCACTGCTTTGGATCTTGCCAGAAGAGGAGCCCGAGTGATCCTCGCCTGCCGAAACCAAGAGAGAGCTGAAGCTGCAGTTTATGACATAAGAAAGGTGATCTATTGACCTCAATTCCTCCTAGTTGTCTTTTATTCTAGCTTGGATCAAAGAAAGTAATATTTACTGTTTATACTTCAGGAAAGTGGGAACTCTGAGGTTCTGTACATGCACCTGGACTTGGCAAGTTTACAGTCTGTGCGGGATTTTGCAGAAACCTTTCTGAAGACAGAACCAAGGCTTGATCTGCTCATTAACAATGCTGGTAACTTGAAAATAACAATTTCTACAAATTAGCATATGCAAGATTTACAAATAACACTCAAACACAAGCATAATCACTAGGAAAATATTTTACTGTATATAAAAGGCTAGTGAAACTGTAAAAAGAATAAATGATTCGTAATTTAAAAGAACCATTTAATGATTAGATAAAAAAAAAAAAGTCAGTAACACATGTAGGTACAAACCTAAAAGTAGTTTGGTACACACTAACAACTATTGCATGTGTACGGCATATTAAGATAATTTTGGTACTATGTATCTTTCTAACAAAATGTGCATAGTATATAATTTTGCATATTGAGGTAAATCTGGAGAAGGCGAAAAAGCCTGTGTTTACTTTAGAATGTCCATGACGTGTAGAAGGCCTATGCCATTTAGTTATTGTAAACTTTAAATAGCTACAGTGCATCCCGAAAGTATTTGTAGCGCTTCACTTATACCACATTTTTTATGTTACAGTCTCATTCCAAAAGAGATTAAATTAATTTATTTCCTCAAAATTCTACAAGCAATACCCCATAATGACAATGTGAAAAAAGATTTTTGAAATTGTTGCAAATTTATTAAAAATAAAAAATCTGAAAAATCACATGTACATCAGTATTCAGCTCTAAATTGAGCTCAGGTACATTGTTTCCACTGATCATTCTTGAGATGTTTTAGCAGCTTCATTTGAGTCACCTGTGGTAAATTCAGATGATTTAGCCTGAAAAGGCACCTGTCTAAAGAGTTGACAGTGCATGTCAAAGCACAAACCAAGCATGAAGACAAAGGAATTGTCTGTAGATTGTCTCGAGGGACAAGGATTGGGAAGGTTGCAGAAAAAATTCTGCTGCTCTGAAAGTTCCAATAAGCACAGTGACCTCCATCATCCGTAAGTGGAAGAACCACCAGGACTCTTCCCAAAGCTGGCTGGCCATCTAAGCTGAGTGATCGGGGGAGAAGGGCCCTTGTTTGCGAGGAGATCAATAACCCGATGGTCACTCTATCTGAGCTCCAGCGTTCTTCTGTGGAGAGAGGAGAACCTTTCTGAAGGACAACCATCTGTGCAGCAATCCACCAATCAGACCTGTCTGGTAGAGTGGCCAGACGAAAGCCACTCCCCACCTGGAATTTGCCAAGAGGCATCTGAAGGACTCTCAGACCATAAGAATCAAAATTCTCTGGTCTGATGAGATTAAAATTAGACACTTTGGAGTGAATGCCAGGTGTTACATTTGGAGAAAACCAGGCACCGCTCCATCACTAGGCTAATACCATCCCTAGAGTATTGAACATCTCTAAAGAAATCAGAAAATGGCTGTACACCGTCGCTTCCCCTCCAACCTGACAGAGCTTGAGAGGTACTGTAAAGAGGAATGAGCAAAAATTCTCAAAGAATTGTGGCAAGCTTGTGGCATCATATTCAAAACGACTTGAGGCTGTAATTGCTGCCAAAGGTGCATCTACAAAGTATTAAGCAAAGGCTTTGAATACTTATTGTACATGTGATTTAAAAAAAGAAAATTTTTAGGTTTTTTATTTTTTATAAATTTGCAACAATTTCAAAAAATCTTTTTTTACATTCATTATGGGGCAATGTGTGTAGAATTTTGAGGAAATTTTGGAATAAGGCTGTAAAAAAAAAAAAAAAAAAAAAACTGTGGAAAAAGTGAAGCGCCTTGAATATTTTCTGGATGCACTGTATATATTAGATGTACCAGATGAGTTAGTTGATATGCCCAAGCTTAATTGACTATTGATAAGGTGCATTGATTTAAAGGATTATCAACAATTAATTGATCATCGAATAATTTTTGTCATCCCTACTTAAGAATGATGTCACTATACTTCTCTCCAGGTCTTATTGCGTCAGGCAGAACTGAAGATGGTTTTGGCATGGCATTTGGTGTCAACCATCTGGGCCACTTTCTTCTGACGCTTTTGCTGTTGGATCGGCTGAAGCAGTCAGAGAACAGTCGTGTTGTCAATGTGTCTGCCCTGCTGCATCGCCTGGGCTCTCTGGATTTCAACCTCCTCAACACGCAGAAGGATCTGGTCACGGGGCAGTCATACTGGCACGCCATCAAAGCCTACTGCCACAGCAAACTATGCAATGTGCTCTTCACCCGAGAACTCGCAAACCGATTGGAGGGCACGAGTGTCACTTGCTATTGCCTGCATCCAGGTTGGTAAAATTGGTTTTATTTTGTTTTTCTGCTAGTGATTCTCCCACCTTGATTTTTTTTCTTTGCTGATTATTTTACAAGCAAATTAACTAATAATTTTTATTCAAAAAGAAAAAGCTAGAAACAAGAAAAACTTAAAATATCCTGAACCTGAACTAGTTGTTCATTTGCTTTATTACAGGCTGAACTGATGCAATTTCACATTTTAAAAACAATGCACACAACTGGACTACATTAGCCTGGACAGACAGTGTTTTAAAATAGATTGTATAATTCAGTGTAATCAAAGTTTGAAGTAAAAATATAAAGATCTGACTTTAGATTCGTGAAATGGTGCTACGTAAAATATACCTAAACAAATCAAAAACAGTAGATGGGCTGAATTAAGATGCAGATTCACTCTTTGTCTGTTGATGGCACTTATAGAATAGCAGAAATAACATTGTTTGTTTCTATGGCTAGTGATTGAAAAACCATAGCCGCATTTCAGCTGTTGGGCCACTGCGGGGCAGGGCTTTTTTCGGGCTGGGCCATACCAATAGTCCTGGAGCTTCAGCAGTGAGGCCGAAATCATGTTACGTTTCCACTGTCGGGATATTGGCTTACAGCACGTCTTGCAAACCTTTCCCCCAGAACATCCACCGAATCAAACATCACACAACCCGCCCAGTTCAGCGGGAATCAGGCAGATAAAGCGCACCATTGCATTATCTCAAAACGATTAAAATTAAGACAACCGGACGAAACAAATGACATGTTACTGTACAGAATTGCATTATATGTCTATACACATAGGCCTATCTATTCACATTCATGTGTGTACTTGCTGACTGACTGTTCACATTGTACATTGAGTGGTCTTGCCACTAACGTAGGGATGACCCGGCGCACCATTCATAATATAAAACCACAGAAATTTAACTTGGTAATGACCTCATATAAAATGTATTTAATAACATCCTCATTTCGGTGGACGTCATCGAACATTCAGTCAAAATGAAAGAAAGAAGCACAGCTGTGAGCGGCATTGACAAAGCTGTGAAGCAAGGGCTTGTATGAATTAGATTGAACTAATTGTTATGGATTAGCCACTAAATCAAAAAGTTACGAATCGCCATGAAATTTGCGTTGAACACACACATACATTCATCTAAAAGCGCATGTTTTATACACAAACACACCATTCAAACTTGACAAACTCTCCTCAACTGAAAGTTACTGGCTGCTGTTTTTAATATGGTCTAAAGATTATTATGCAAAATTGAAACATTAATGAGGACACAGCAAAGAAATATAACTTACTAAATTAAAACTACTTTATTATTTTATGCAACAGCCTTACATTTAAAAGGGAAACATAAAGGGTGATCTTAAGCAAAAAAAGACCCCTAGCCTATAAGGTGTTTTATGGAAAAGCCTTTCTTAAACTGACCAGCTATGTTTTTTTCCTTATTTATTTTTTTATCGCATTTATTCTTGTGCGATAGGAAGTGACAGTGGAAACCCGACTGGCCCTGGCTCTTCCTGGCTATTAAATGAACTAATGTTAATGTTTGCATATGACTGTTTGGATTGTGCTGTTTAAATGGTAATAGTAGTAAGTTTTAGCATCTCTGGTTTCAAAATTTGTAATATACAGTGGTGTGAAAAAGTGCCTGCCACAACCCTCCCACCCAGCCTCGCACTGATTTCTTTCTTCTTCTTTTTTTTGCCATGTTGGTCATACTTGTTGATTCTGAACTTGAATGTTACAGACCATCAAAAAAATTTAATATTATCATGCAGTTTTTAAATGAAGGTTTCTATTAAGGGAAAATAAAATCCATAACTACATAGCCTTGTGTGAAAAAGTGTTTCCCCTAAACCTAATAACACACAAGCATAATCTAGTGTTGCAATGAGTCTGTGACAGCATTGTGGGGGAATCATCTTTGCAGAATTGTTGGTGTATTTTCAAGGATAAACCACATATTTAAGGTCATGCCACATCTTATTTGTATTCTGATCAGGACTTTGACTAGGTCACTTTTTTTTCAAGTTTTTTTTTCTTTAGCCAGTCAGAAGTGGACTTGTGGATGTGCTCTAAAATAAGTTGTTTTAACACTTTTACACGTTTTTTTCACACGTTTTTTCCACCTTAATAATAATTTTTTAAACCGCATGATGTGTTTACTTGTGTTATCTTTGACTTATTTAAATTTTTTTAATGATCTACGGAAAAAAAATTACAAATAAATCAGTAAGGGTGCAAACACTTTTTTCACACCACTGTATTTTTGCAGTTAAAGTTTTCTTCAAAAAACACACAGTTGAACATTTGAATCAAAAACTAGACTGTTTATTGGTGCATTTATACTTTTTGCTACTTTTATTATACATTATACTACATTTTACTTCTTTTATTAATGCATCCTATTTATGGTCTCATTCTTGCAGGTGTCATATCTACGGAAATTGGAAGGTATATGGGTCCGCTACAGAAACTGCTTTGCCTGCCCATGTCGAAGCTGTTTTTCCTGGACCCTGAGGCAGGTGCGCAGACCACACTTTACTGTGCTTTGCAGGAGGGCCTGGAGCCTCTGAGTGGACGCTACTTCTCATCTTGCGCTCTGCAAGAAGTTGGTGCTTTGGGACGGGATGATGCTCTGGCCAGGAAGCTTTGGGATGTGAGCGAGAGACTGTGTGGCCTGTCCTGAATGAGCTCACACAGGTTTGTGGATCAGTAGAATTAAACAAGAGATTAAAAAATGAGGAGTGAAATTCATGTAGTTCTCTTTAAGACTGTAATTAATTTTAAAGGCGATTTTTCTTATTATTTAGATTTCTTCTTTTTTTTTTTTTTTTTTTTTTGAGTTTTCAAATTTTCAGCCAAATATTGTCCTATTATTGCAATCTAAAAAACATTGAAACACATGACTGGTATTGTGTTCCAGAGTTACATGTATTGCTTTATAATATATCATTGCTTTATATTGCAGTTATTCTGAGTCACTTTGGTGCATTACACAATACTATTTACTTTTGCACAACAGTTAGGCCCAATCCAATTCTACCCCTTAGCCCTTCCCCTGACCCCTACCCCTTGTTTTGCGCTTGCACGCCAAGGGGTAGGGTTGTCCCGATTCTCTTTAGCTTGAAGGCGTAGGGCTAAAGGGGAAGGGGTGAATAGCCCTTCAAACAAAGATTTTTTAGGATTATGGATAAGAAAGCATTTGTGTTTTACTGTCATGCTTTAAAAAAAAAAAAAAAAAAAAGCTAAAAAACGCTAAATTTTGCAATCTATAATCCTTATTAATGACTCCTGTACAGCAGTCCCACAACATTCTGACACCCGAATACCCTGTCAGTAATGTCTAGTGGCAGTCGATTAGCATTTTACAGTGTTTGCTATAATGTTAATGTTGTTTTTGGTGTGTTTACATTGATGAATATGGCCACTGTGTAAATACACAGTACAGTTACGATCTTATTGCCACATTAGATCGTTATGATAACATATTATATGCCTTTAATGATTTCCTGAAGATAAATACCAATAAAAAACACAACTGGAATAACTACAGCAGTCTCGATCACCTGATCCCACATGAAGCATCAGATCGTGAGGACATATGATGACGTCTCCAGGTGTAGTGCAGTGTTGTCCTATTCTTAGGGGTAAAAAAGCCCTTCCGCTTAACCCTCGGTTGTAAGGGCCAAAGGGAAGAGGTAGGGGTACAAAAATAGAATTGGGATTGGGCCTAATGCATTTCTCAAAACAATTAGAACAAACTGCAAAACCTAGTTGATAACCTGCAAAAGTGCGTCACATGCTCAAAATGGATGGCTTATTCCTCAAAAGTCATGTCAATGAAAGTGTCAGTGTCATCAAGATGAAAAGTCTTGCCGCCATTGTTTATGAACAGATAGTCAAATGGCTTTGTCATGTTTTCATTATAACAGTTTACTCTGTACATTTTTTCCAATGCAAAAAAGTTAGATTTTGGTGAAACTTCCAACTGTTTAACTGTTGTGCAAATATAAATAGTGTTGTGAGAAATGCACCAAAGTGACTGAGAAAAACTGTAAAAAAATAGGTATTAATTAGGGATGCATATTTTATTTTTGGTTTATACATTTTTGATTTGAGTTTATGATAGTAAAAGGTAAATTAGTGAACACATAAACAGCATTATTAGTTCATTTTAGCTCCGGTCCGGTAAATAACATTGCCGAAATATTATTTTTCAAAACAAAAGTTGAATTTGTAAATGTTGTAACTTAATGTTAACTAAGATTAAATGCTTTTACGGTATTTTTTTATGTTAACTAAAGTAAAATGGAGTCTTATTGTAAAGTGCTGCCACATTTTTATACTTTTCTATGCTAATTTAATGTATTAAAAGAAAAACACTTAAATCAGTTTTAAATGCTACAAGTAGTTGGGCATTCCAGTATTACTATTTCTAATGATCAACATTCCAACAAGAAGCAAATCAGCCAATTATAATATGGTACAAAAATATCATGCATTCCTACTTTAGCCAAAAATATTTACATAATATATTATATAATCAGAATCAGTAACCACAGTTATTGTCTACTATTTGTGACGCCTATATTGCTTTTGTTGAGAATGTGTAGAGTTGAATCAGAGTTGCAGTTTTGTATTCTCTCACTGCACTCGATAGACTCTAAAAGCTTTGCATATTTCTTTGTCGGTTTTCATGACATATTGGTATTGTCAGCTTCCTGTTTGATGCTTTGTTTGTTTGTTTGTCTTACTATATTTCTGTCTATCTATTGTTATGTATGTTGTTCTACATATCTACCATTCTATATCTCCGTATACATTTGTTTTGTTTGTCATTCCATTGTTCTTTTTATCTGTTGGTCTATCAGTCATTCTGATAATCATTTTCTCTGTCTAGCTGTCATTCTTAAAAAAAAAAAATTTTTTTTTTGTTTGTTTTTGTCCATTTCATTATAGCGGCACTATCTTCATTAAAGTATGAATACATTTACTTCTTTGCATTCAGTTCATTTGACCTAAATGAGAAACATTTGAACATCCTGTTTTTTCTTCTCAAAACCCATGATAAATTCAAATACCTCATGTGTTTAAAAAGCATTATCATTTGAGTTAAATAAAAAAACATCACTTTCTTGGATCCATTTACCACCTCTTTTGTTAGGACGCTATATCTGTTTGGATCGCTGGGTGGCAGTAGCGCGTCACATTTGACTGCGTTCGTCTGAGGGCGACGCAACCTGAAGAGTCTACAGAGACCTCTGTCAAGATGACAATCATTAGAATAAAGTAGGTTAGATTACACTGAGAATTGCAGAAGTAATTTCATGTAATATTAGAGTTTGCTTTTCCACTGAATGAAAGTGGGCGTCGGGGCTGCAGCCTTTCGATGTGATGGGATAACCAAAAAAAAACAACCCAGACTTGTTATAGACCCTTACCCATATCCATGCATCTTCAACAGACCCCCTGTAGCTAATGGATCCTTCACTTCACAATGAGATTGTCACATTTGTGACTTTGTAAAGACCTTATTTTAGCATCCTACATATATAGCAGTACCACTAGGATTTTCCAATTCTGCGATCACCAAATTAAACACAAAACCAAGCTAATTTAATTCAAAATAGCTTACATTTTTAAAAACAAATTTCTAAAAGGTTTGCCACAGATTTTGGGTGTATGATGCATCTTGTGACATTATAAGACTTAAATAAGTCTTGTGACATTTTCCAACTTTTAATGGCTCATATATATAAAATCTAATAAATGTATTATGTAACCCTGGATCACAATATCAGTCATAAGTATCATTTGAGATTTGTCATTTGAGAAATTGAGATTTGCATATTATGCGGTAGATGTTTTATTTGTTAATATTTAACAATATTTGGCTGAGATGGTTAAAAATCTGAAAACTTGGGTGTTAAAAAGCCCTCAAAACACTGAATTGCGTTTAAAATTAAGTTGTCATCAATGAAAATTACTTATCAGAAATTGAATTTTGATATTTATTGTAAAATTTATGGAAATTGATATATCTTCATGGAACTTGATCTTAATACTATGAGGATTTTTGGATATTGAGAAAAAATATATAATTTTGACCCATACAATATATATTTTTGGGTATTGCTGTACAACATAAGACATTTTTCCATCCAGGGTCACATATTTACAGTAGTACAATTAGGGCTGGGCAGTTTATCTAAAAATAATCAGAATCGACATTTAGAACCTATAATCGATCAATTTTTCTTGTCAGTTAATTCAATTACTTTTCCTGCTTTGTGTGGAGTCATGTGACCCCACTCTGATTTATACTTCTGCATCGAACTCATGGGTGTGGTGTGGTGCAGCCTTCGCGTGATCGCATACCTGTGCACATTTCAAAAAAAAAAATGGAACTACACATTGCACGTATGCACAACATTGAAAGTGATTGAAAGCTGTGCCAGAAAAGTCTTGAGGCAACATATTACAATTACAATACAATAAAATTCCATTACAATAAAGTTATTATTTACCTTAATATTTGTTTACAGAAGATTAAAGAAATTCACTGTTAAATAATATTTACAAGATACACAAGAGTCATTTTATGTAGAAGAGATACTGCTTATTTTCTACTTTTAATATGAAAAATACAATAATAATTAATTTTGTTTCCAAAAGTGCAATTTATTTATTTTATTTAAAGTTTTATTTTCACTTTTTTATTAGAAAGAGTGACTGTTTGTTTTAGGCAGTGTGTTTTAATTTAAGTTTTTTCAACGTTGAAGTATATAATCTTAGATAGTAGTGTGTGTGTGTGTGTGTGTTTCCTTTAATTATTTTAAAATGTAATTGTAATATGTGAGCATATTTGCTGTACAAAACTTGTTAGTGAACTATGCAGGCAAAAATAAGAAAATAAATTAATAAAATAATCGTTCATTAATCATAATATATATATATATATATATATATATATATATATATATATATATATATATATATATATATATATATATATAAATAAACGTTAGACAGAAATACATCATATTTGATTAATATAATTAAGCTAGATTTTTTTTCTAATGCTACTCATTCCTTTGGGTATCAAATATGATACAGTGCACTTAATAGGCTTGAGAAGTAAACCGCTGATTCATCTCACTCTGGTTCTCTCTTTCCTTTTATAGACATTACAGAACCCAATTGTTCTTGAGTTCAAAATAGAAACAATATTTTAACAGGATTGTTATCAGAGTATATGTTCACAGCAAAACAAAACAAAAAGGCACGAATATTTCCAGTAAGTTTTAGAAAAGCCATTTTTCCGCAGCAAACTATATCTGAAAAATGTCCTGCAAAGCCTTGGACTTAATAGACTTTTCAGACTTTTAAACTATGTTTCTGTGTATGGTTAAATCCAAAGTAATTTTATCCAGTTTCTTATTGTTTTCTAGCCTGAAATCAGTTTGGATCAGTCATGGCGCTTTCATAATATGCATAGAGTGTTCATGTCACTGATCATATCTGGGCCTACTGCGTGTGTTGGTTCTCATGCACAGTAAGTCTGTAACTACACCGTCCCCTTCGATTCATTTTGTAGAAGCAAAACACATTGATGAGTGACGGCAGGTGTTTACTTTGGACGCTCTCCCAAGCTCTTTGGCACAGTGCTTAACGACTGGATTAGTGCATCAATTAGCAATCACTGCATGGGAGGAGCCTGATTGATCGAGGCTGCTGCTGCTTGGGCTGGGCATGGGGCATGATGGGGCGTATGTGTGTGTGTGAGTATATAGTGACCAGCTGTTTGCGTATTAGTTCAAAGGACTAATTTCACTGCATGATGGCAGAATTAAACCATATGGCCCTTGTTGACCTTGTAAGCATATCATATACCTGAAGTCACCTCGAACTGTTATATTAGTGGGATTTGCTACTGTGATAATTGTCATCTTGTTAATATTACAAGACGAAAAAAAAAACATGATTCTAATTTAAAGTTTACTTATGCTTTATTATAATAATAGGTATTGTAAACAAATACTAAAAGACTGCTTGTCAGGTTCGGATGATGTAAAACGTGACCTAAAGTAGCTCGATGCAACAAAGCTACACACATACTTGGGGCATGCCATGTGAGCAACACAACAGGATAAAAAAAATATTATTGTAATTTAAAGTTTACTTATGCTTTGTTGCAATAAAACGTATTGTAAACAAATATGAATAGGTACCTAACTAGTTA